ACTACACTTTTTTCTTTCCTGTCTATACTGTATAGAACCAGAGCACTTGTTACAGGTAACTGTGTAATGGGATCACTTCTCTGGCCATTCCACCAAGAAGTACAAATGGACCAGTATTAAAAGTAATCAAATCCACATAAGACAAACAAATGTATGTTGCATGTGTTCCACATAAGCAATCTGTGAGACAGCCAAACTACTGCCCCCCAGAAAAAATCTGCCAATTCAAACAAAAGTCAAATGGAGTCAGAAAAGATATCAATCTCGCTCTCTCCTTACACACCTTCTGCGTTTCACAGTTCGGCTCACAGCTGTGGTTCATGAACCGAGAGCAGTTCCCTTTCAACGTGGCATCAATGATCTGCAACAGAATGAAAACCAGAACAAGATAAAACGTAATTAGCCTACACTGAACACTTGCATCATTAGTCCCATTGATTTTCTTTGTTGGATTCTATTATGTTATTCTTTTCATTACAGAATCCTTCAAACATAATGCAGGTCCTAAATTAGAGATGGTTTCCTAATCAACCCAGAAAAAAAAAGAGTACCAGTGTAAAGTATCAGCAGTTTCAGAGTGTCTCTCAGCAGAAGCTGTGACTGTGCTGGGAGTGTCATTGTTGTGGAGGGCTTACCTCATTGTTCTTCAGGGCCATGAAGTAGTAGTGGATGTTCTTGCTGCGGGCATACTCTTTCACACGGGCTTTAAACTCCTTGTGATCCAGCACCTCCCCACAGTACTCCAGGACGAAGGTATTGCTGTAACACAGGGCGTATTGTTACCAATGCCACCCAGATGCAAGGACGAGCATTACAACACTAAGTAAGCTAGACCTGTGAAACATTTGTATCATGTGGCTCACTTCTTCCCACAACCAATTAGAGAAAAGTGTCCCATCCCATATAAAAAAAGCAAAGAAGGCTCCATGAGACCCTCCCTGTCCTGCCATGTTGTCCCAGATACAGAGCTCTAGGTCATGCACAGAAAGTATACAAGCAATACAAGAATATAAAAAGGGGAGATTACCAAGATAGCTTTTAAAGGAACGTGAGAACAAGCTACCCAGACATGTAGTTCAAGCTGATCCCTTTCTTTCTACAAGCAACTGAAAGAGACCCTTGGATCAACAACCAGATTAGTCAAGATGGGCTGAACGGCCTCTGCTCGTTTAGAATTGCTCTTGTGGGTGGAGAGCTACAAGACTCCAGCACCCCTGCCTTCTAGTTGAAAGGAAAAGACTGGTAGGTGAAAGACTGTGCTTGGACTATGATTCTCGCCAGAATCTGTGAGAACCTGTCTGGAAAACCCACTCCCAGCTCTGAGCAGAGGACACAGAGCCCCAGCCACAGACTCACGGTGTCAGGTCCTTCGCCGCCCGCAAACCCCAGCCTTTGCTGTCTGTCAGGATGACCTCAAACTCCGCGTGCTGCTTCCGCTGGAACCGCCGGTTCGAGCAGTACCCTCCATTAGGGCACCGCGAAGAACTGCAGGGACAAAGATTAAGAGGTGGGGGCAGAGAAAGAGTGCAGCTGTGAAATCTGCAAGGTGGGTGAAGACAAAAAGGATTTATGAGAGAGCAGCTGAATTCACAATTTTTCAGCACGACTAAATTTAGGCAGTGTAAAAAGAAGTGAAGTTTTGGGATTTCAATTTTCCACTTACAATTTGCTGACGACACAAAGATCGCAATGGCAAACTAAAGCACACGTGACTTGCAATTTCGATTTTTATCATCGCGAAAGCTTCTCAAACTTGGGAAAAGACGCCAGGCGGTGAGGCTGGGATGCGCCTGCTCACCATTCAATCATCAGCAGGCGGTTGAGACAGTCCTCTCCGCAGGCCACCGCCCCCTGCGCTCGCTCCTCCTTCGGCAGCACCGCACACTCACACTGCATCCTCTTGATGTCCCGGTGAGACTTGTTCTTCTTCCTGCACAGACACAGCAGCGTCTCACACTGCCCGCCACAGGGAGAGGAGTCCCAGAACCACAAACCAACAGCGACCGAGGGGCTCCAACACTTTTTAGCGCCGTATAAATTAAGTGACTTAATTCCATTTATCGACTAAATGGAGACCATTAGAGTCAGTCCCTTTCTCCAACTGCTGCTTGACTTGGGTAAAAAACAGGTTTGAAATGACATCCTTCAACCTACAAGAAAGAAGGCCTCATACTTTTCTGATCTCTTTCAAACTTTGCTGTCTCGTAACTTAAGAGGATATCATCGATTCTCATCAGTAGTATCATTGTCATGTACATTTTGTAGCACAATATATTGCACAATCTTTGAAGGACGAACTGTTTGTAATGGAGCCAAATGCTAAAGGGAAACTGTAAAAGGTGAGAAATTAGGCATGCTAATTTTCAGGAAAGCTACAGAGATCTTTGGTTCAGGTACATTATTTAAATGACAAGGTAGCATGAAAATAACCCTGCAGTCTGTTTTTTTAGTTCCACTTCAAAGCATAGAATTCAAGCATATAACTATGCTGACAGCCAAAGCGATACTATAATACTTGAAATGGAAAAGCCTGTCAAGACTTTTAGGAACATGAAGGATCACAGCATAAGAGCATTGCTACCAAGAGCATCTTCTGCCTTGATGTCAGTGTTCAAGGTTACTCAGCTGCAACAACAATATCGTCTTCAAGACCTTTAGAATTTGATCAAGACAATAGCACCTGGAGGCCAACAGAAAAGCTTTTAACAGAACCTTACCCCTCATTAAAAGTTGATAGCACTTTAAAAGGTCACCTATGAAAACTCTGATACTCAGCACATTCTACTTTCATGCATAACCAGAGCAGCTTAAACATCTTCATATAAAGAATGGTCGAGTGCACAATTAAATTTCGAATACTTAAAAACCATTTTAGAAGCACTTTTTGGCAAATGTTCACCTGAGTCATCTAATTCAGGAACTATTTTCCAGCAGAGAAACACATTAGATTTAAAAAACAACTATAAAGCTCACTGGGTGATGTAGGACAATGGTGACAACACACAAATGAGCTGTGTGAACAGTGAGAGCAAGAAAACCGCTAAGACAGTGGTCAGCTGAAAATCTACTGAGGCAAGAAATATACAATTCAAACTGAGAAGCGTTCACTTCACAATCCATATATTACAAACAATAACAAATGCCTCAACAATAACCCAGAATAATGATAATATTTTAAGCACTCTCTTACCGTTCAGTGAGGTAGAGGTTTTCCTCAATCAGGTCAAAGTAAGGTGGCATCTGCCCCATCTTGGCTCTATCCTTCCAGGTAACTGGGTCCAGGAAGTCCTGCAAACTGAGATGAGGCCAGACAGCCTCTGGAATCTGGGATGGGGTCTCCAATAATGCGACTGAGGTTCCTGAGTTATCACCCTCCCTTAAACGCTCCTTCTTGGAGGGACCCACTTCTGCTTCATTCTCAGAGTCCGACTCCAGCTCTGGACGTCTCTTCTTGGGGGGTCCTCTACCCCTGTGGGGCTTGCAACTTTCTTCCCTGGGGGCCTCTGAAATGGCCGAGCTCTCTGGAGCAGCACTGATAGGCCCTCTACAGTTGCTGCTGACTTCATTTGCCTGGACGAAAGAGGAAGGTGCAGAGGGAGGGGGATCACAGGGAGCTGTAGCTGAAACACTGCTGTCCAAAAGGCTGGTCAGGCTGGGGCCTGATTTACCTCGACTCTCATCATCATAGTCATTGGTCAGTGAATCGGGATGTACCTGGCCCACAGACTCCCGGTACTGCAAAGCCATAGGTGGACACACAGGCCTGCAGCTCTGGGGCCCCGGGGGTGCCCAGTAGCCATTGTCTTGCCACCAAGGCTGTCCAGTCAGAGGGATTACTTCTTGTAGGGGATTTTGCTGTTGCTGCTGCTGTTGTAGTTGGTAGGTTTTGTCAAGATGGACTCCATGACTGCTATCTGGCTGCTGGTACGTACTGGTGGGCTGCTCTGCCTGAGTGTAATCCCAGCCCAGATTATAGTCATCCTTGTTGCAGAACCCATCGGCCCTGGTGAAGTCCCCAGGCTGGTAGCGGGGTAACCTCCTCCCCCACTTCCTCCCCTGCCAGCTGTCGGGCCTCTCATAGTGCCGTGAGTCTCCCAGGTCCAATTCACCCCAAGAGTTCTGAGGGTCATGGACCGAGCCAAGTGTAGTCAAGGTCTTCGGTTTATCCTGGCCATGGGTCTGTGTGGGTTTTGTGTGGTGCTGAGAACAGTGAGCTCGCGATGCTTCAGACTGGCTGGTGCTGTCCACCATATTGCTTTGTGAAGGGTAGCCTGTACTCTGGGGGAATGAAATTGTGTCTGCAGTGGGAACTTCATGAACCCGCTTGCAACTCTCTGACATCTTGACGGGACCCCCTCGTCGCCTTCTCTCGGGGCTGACACTTCGACTCCTGGATGTGTCCCTCCGAGTTCCCTCCCCACTTCCATCCCTATCTGCACCCCGGCCAAAAGGCTCAGTCCAGCTGTGCTCGGCCCAGTCTGAAGAGGGTCGGCCAGGGCTGTTACTGGGACTTGATGAGGGTGTTATGATGGCTCTGCCCTCTATACTGATCAAAGTGGAGTTCTTTGGCACAACAACCACTGATTGCAGCCGGTTCCTGGGAACACCACTGTCGTCCGAATCCAAATCGGACTCCTCTGTCTCACTGTCCTCACTATCTTCGCCCTCACGTTCTAAGGACATGTTGCTGCTGTCTGGCTTGCTCTTCCACAAACACTGCCTTTGTCTTACCATATCCTCCTCCTCCTCTTCCTTCTTTAATCCTTCTTCATTTGCAACCAAAGGCAGCTGAGTTCCGTGGGGATCATTTACGGTGCTGCACCCTACAACCATTTCTTCCTCATTGTTTTTAAATGCATCACTATCGTCCTCAAAGAACGGCTGCGTGGGTGCGTTTAATGGCTCTGGCTTGGATTTAATATCGGAGATATTCTTCTGCTGCCTCACCAGGGAGCTATCTGCTTGGTCAACAGTTTCTTCTGTTTTCACATCTGCCACTTTGGCTGCCGAAAATAGACCAGCTACATTTACGTGGTCCTCATTCAAGTTATGTTCCACTATTACGGGGCATTCTTGTTTGAAAATTGGTTCCTCTTTCATACAAATCTCTTTAGTGTCTGGGTTTGAGTCTTTTGACAGGTGTATCCTGCGAACTGAGACTACCTTTTTAATATATGGTTTGGTCTCCAGTCTGGATCTTCTTGGTGAGGTTTCTTGATCTGATGTCTCCTGTCCAACTATATCCCAGCGAGATTTTTTCACATTACCTTTTGTTGGTTTTGAAATGGGTGCATTTTTTTGTTCTGTAACGTTACTACTAGCAAATTCATTAAGAGTGAGATTTAAATCTTTAACTGAGCAACTATCGACCTTCGAAAAGGATCCCTCTTCCAGAGAAACAGTGCTAGACTGTAAACTCCCAGTCTCTTCTCTGTCAGAGGAAATTAGTTTATACGTGCTGGTATTACAATGTGAAAGTCCACTATAAGGGGAGTCAGCATTATTAGGAATTTCTGACTTAGTAGGAGAATCACAGCCTCTCAGGTAAAGTGCCTCAATGCACAATGATGGTTCATCTTTGGAAAAGGCACTGCAGTTGGTTAAGGGAGACTCTTTCTGTATTAATTGCTCATCAGTGCATATTTCTAGAGACGTTTGGGAATGCTGGTTGTCTTGTTTTAATTCTGGAAGTCTCTGAATGTTTCCAACAGCTATGTCTTTACCAACATTAATGCCCTCCGGGGATGACTTTGTCATGTGAGATGGCAGGTCATTTGTAACTTCCACATCTTCTTCCATGCAAACCCTTTCCACATTTATTACTGTCTTGTCTTCTTCAGCAGTCTTGAGCACACCTGTCCTGTGTTCCAAACTAATCTCTGTAGATGATACATTAGACAATGGCACATTATCCAAAGAGCTGCATAGACTGCCAAGGTTGGAAGGTTGTTCGCAGCTGACCATTGTCACACATGAGTCAACAGGGATCTCACATGATGCTGTAGCCGTCTCTTCCCTGTTATCAACTAAGGACTGAGGAAGTGCAGAAGAGTCTATATCACGTCCTGGACAATCTGGATGTTCCTGTTGAGAACTTTCAGCAGATGGCTGGGCTTTAGGCTCCCGTGAGTCAACATCAGTATCATCATACATAGTAAGAGCCTTATTTGTATCCAGAGCCTGGACGTTCTGTAGGTCAGGCATGGATGGGGAAGGGAGATCACCAAGTTCTTTTGCAACATCGAACTTTTGCACTTTAGAGTGAGAACGTAAACTGTATGTAGATAGTTTTTCAATCTTAATGAAAGACTTAATTTTGTCAGGAGGGCCACTTTGTTTACAGTCCTGAGCTAATGAGGAATCAGTGAGTCCAGGTTCAGGCACAGTTAGGTTTTGAAAGTCTTTCAAATAGGGTGTGGCATCATGGCAGCATTGTTTACTGTCCATTTCATTACACTGACTATTGTTTGTGGGGCAGGACTCTTTCATTCCTCCTCCATCTTCTGTCTGTGAACACAATTTGTTGGTATCTGACTGTAATGTCACTGTTTTGGGACTACTTGACTTGCCCATTGATTGTCTCTCGGTCTCCTGAACACATTTATTTGTCTCCGTGGTTGGCTTTTGCAGATCTGTGGGCTTGGGGGATGATGATCTTTTCACATCAGGTTTATCCATCTTACTAGCAGATGTGGTTTGCCTCTCATCTGACCCTGAGGCAGAGGATGATGTTTCTGAACTGTGCAACTGAGATTTCTCTTGCTCCTCTTCTGATTCTGAGCTAGAGGTCATTTTCTGGGATGCTTTCTCTGATGTCTGAGATCGGGTTCTGGGTTTGGAATGAGTTGAATTCACACTGCTCTCCAATTTGGACCCAGCATTGGACTTCCTGCGGTCTAGTTCCATCTCAGGAGAAGTCTTTCTGATGGACTCCAGGTCCACATTCCTTCTAGAGTCTCTCTCAGACCTAGAGTTAGATTGCATCTTTTTTTCAGTCTCTGATGAGTGAGACGGTTCTGTTGTTTTACAGTCCTTTTCGGATTTCGAGTAAGAAGAGGAGGTGGTGGTGGTTTTGGACTCCCTGTGGGAGATGGAATTGGTAGAGGATCTTTTGGAGTCACTGCCCCGGGAACGAGTCCTCCTGTGGTCATCCTCAGACTCTGAACTGTCTCGGGATCTTATGTCAGTTCGGGAACGGGATGAACAACTCCTCTCCCTGTGTGGGGTGCTCCGATGGGATCGCCGATCAGAATCATGATAATGTGATCGCTCTGACCTGGTTGACCTTTCACTTCTCAATGACCTCTCAGATCTAGAGTACGAAGAGCTTTTTCTAGAGCCTCTGGACCGGGAGCGTGTCCTGCTCCTACTCCTCCTCCTCTGTCTCTCTGATCGAGAAGACCGTAATGATGTGTGTCTTGACTCCCTGTCTGACTTTGAATAGCTCGAGTGACGGTCATCCTTTTCAGACCTGGTGCGGGAATAAGAGGATTTCTCAGATTCTTCTCCTTTAGAAACTGAGGAGTTCCTCTTAACTTCCTTACTTCTGCTCTCTGCATGTGCCGTGCTGCTTTTGATATCACCAGACTTGTGGCTGGAAGACGTCCGCACTGAATCGCCATCAGACTCAGAACCAGGAAGGGTGTTCTCTAGTTGAGGCTGGTTTTTCCTGGGGTCGGAGGTTTCTGTACACTGCACATTTTTCAGACCTTCTGTATCATTTTCCTCTTTCCCAATATGGGAAGTATTTCCTGGGCTCTGTTGACAGAGGCCTGGCTTCTCCTTTACAGAGTCTTCTAGGGTGCTGTGCTCAACAGCATTTGGGGTCTGGGATTCCGTTTCAGCTTTGGCTGCAGTTTTGAGTTCCACTTGCAGCTCTGCCTCAGAAGGCGCTCCCACTGCCATGCTTGGAACTAGCAGAGGTTCCTCCTTCTCTCCTGTGGATTCAAGTTTAGCCGTGACACTGAGAAGCTGTTTTTTGAAGTGCATTTTCCCCAGGTCCAATTTCGGTTTTAAGGGCGAGGGCACAAAAGGTGAGGGTGTTATGGACTCTGCTACAAGTGACAGTGGCTCAATTTGCTCACTCCTGCTTTCTGGATGCTGCCCTACTTTATCCTGGGTGGGTGCAGACACAGCCACAGATGTCAAAACGGAGATCTGGGAATCACTAGCAGGTTTTTCTGGACTGAGTGGGGCTAAGAAGCGGTTCTGCAGCGGCTTCTTGGTCATGCTGAAGCTAAAGGAGACCTTCTGCCTTCCCTGCTCTTCCAAATTCACCTTCGTCTTGGTGCCCTTGGGCAGGAAGCGGCTAGAGGACAACCCTTTGGAAACCAGTCCTTTGAGTAGGGCTGGTTTGGAGTGATTCTCCTCTTTTGCCTAAAGAGAAAAAAAAACACAATTAGCATCGTCAAGCTAAGAATGTTGCTTCAAACAACAGGGCATTTCATAGTAAAAATGTACTATACTTAGTAATAAATGACAGTAGTTGTGAAAATAAAGCAATATTAATCTATCAGCTCTTAATGCAAGAACATGATTCGCTATGCACCATAGCCATTTTACAGAAGTGACCTGTGAAGAAGTCTTGTCACCGGGCAAAGGCCTGAGCATCCTTTCAAATCAAGTGGTAGTCGATCTTATAGTACACTGCCAAAAGGACAGAACTTGACAATGTTCAGGCATGGGGATTTTATACATTTTGTAATAATTATAAAGGAAACCCTAGAATTTCCTTTTAGGGAATTCTAAAATACAGAATCACTTTCTCATTAGTCTGCAGATTCAGGTTGGATACTTCACCAATTTCATGTGTTCATTACCCACCTCACAGGAATGTCAGACAGAACCTAGAGTATGATTTCCACCATTTTTTCCAAAAACACTTATCAATGAGATACACCAGAGGCTCTCTGTAGAAGATCTTGTCAGTGTCATTCCTTACTGTGTCTTTACTGTGAATGACGAGTGAAATAGTTCTAAAATTTGAACCAAGGATTAAATTAACTAAATCACTTTTATACTATTCTGCTACTGACTGGGAGTGCATAGGATATCCACCTATGCGCTATGGATATGGATATGACTCCCAGGTGAAATATGGGACTCCCAGGTGAAATATGGGACGAACAACTCCTCGCCATGTGCAGGGAGCTCCAGTGGGTCCATAAGTGGGGAATCATGATACCAACCACTCCAACTTGGTTGACTTCTCAATGAGCAGGACCAAGCCCTCCCTCTCTCTCCCCTTCTGTTTGGAACAACCAAGGGAAAGATTGCTTCATTGGAAAAAGCCACTCTCTCAGCAATATTGTGCAGAGACCAAGTTTTCACCAGATGCAGATGAACCCCATGAACTGTCAGCTCTTTTCCATGGCATATCATTACCTCCTGCTTGATCACTGTTGTGTGCCTGAGAGTAAAGAATCCTGAGCTTGGGGAATCAGACTTACCGAAGCATCACCTCCCTCCTCCCTGTTGCCATCCAAGCAGAGCATGTAAAAAAACAAGAGAGAGGGTCATTAACATATGGACTATAACAGACTCAAATGAAGGGTATAGGAGAACTAAAAGGAACGAGGCTGTAGATGATTCAAGACTATTAGATATAATCTTGCTGATTACAAAAGCAACTGTAAAAACAGGAAAGTAACATTTTTAAAGTGCCTTTAACAGGCACTGCTTGCACAAGTCTCTGAGGGAGACAGACCACCACAGAACACTATGTATTGCTCTAGGTTTTATAATGGTGACTTATGTACACACAGCTGCTTAATCAGAGGATGAAAATAAAGACTCCAAATGTACGACATTTAAGTTCCTGAAGAATTGTGGGCTGCACATACACAAACACCAAGAATCAGAAATGTCATGTTATCTTATTTTTAGTAAATCTGCATCAACTTATTTAGCTCCCTACTTTATCAGTATATTAGCATACTGCTGAGAAAAAACAGCAAGAAGAGAGACTGTTTTGAAATGAGTCTCCTCTTTTCTCCTCCTATGGCTTGGCTGTACAGTCTTCATCCTGGAGGGCTAAGGCACCAGCAGATGTTTTAGATTGCTACACCAAGCAGCACCTGAAGACTCTGGGAAAAGCTGTTAAAACGGTCTAATTAAGCCACAAAAGAGTGAAGTCAAATCCTTAATAGCTGAGCTGGAATGAAAACTTGCAGAGATACTGGCCCTCCAGGACCAAGATTGGACACCCGAAGCTTACAAGTAGTTAAGAAGCAGTTATGATGCACTAAGACGAATTTCCCAATTCATTCTTTTTTAAGGAGAAATATACTCTCAAGAAAAAATGCTGTTTTAACAGAAAACCATTTCGCACATTTTTAGAAACACCAAAACATTATTTCCTGAATCATTTCTTCCTACAGAGTACCGATTATTCAATCTCAGGTTTTACAGCGGTTCAATAGTCATTCTAATCTCGTTCTCAGAAAGCACCATCTGAGTAATCCTGCGTAGGCTCTGTAGATGGAGTTCACATGCAGGGGATTTTCCCTTATTACTCATTTCTATTTGCAAACAAAACAGCAGCTGACAGTGTGCCAGGGAGTCACACTGTAATGACTGGTGCCAGCTTCGCCTTCACCTTTAGAGATTAAAGGTGCTTCTTTTCTGTGAATTATCAGCAGCTTTGACGCTATTCCTCAAACTCACATGACATAAAATGTATTTTTCAACAGTCAGCTACTGAACAATATGTAGGCGTGAAAAACGTTTCTGCAAATACAACCTTACCTATGTGACCTCCAAACTCTTTAGACTAATGTACTTTTTTTCAGAGCGTGATTAGCAAGGGGTTGCCATTCCCCTTCTTAAAAAAAATAAAGATACTTGCACTTATGTGCCCTGCAATGGCACACCCTCCATGATGTTCTCCTGCCCCTTGGGGTTCCAGGATGGGCTCTGGGTTATTTAACCCTAATCAGGGCAGTGTTCTGAAGATGTCAGTATTAATATAGTGCTTTCTCTCCCAAAGTGTTCAAAATATAGAAGCTAACCATTTCAACTATATCCGCAAAGATAGTGTCCTTTACGAACAGACGTTTCCTTAACTTTTATAAATATAGCACCTAGAGGTATGAGAATGCAACCCTGGACTCTTAACCCTAAGCGATCTTGATCCGTGATGAGTTAAGAAATTTAAGTGCTTAATACGTTGCATGAAGTCATAGTGCTGCTGCTGGTCAGTTATTTGGTGTAAATGAATCTACAATAAAGAAAAGTGAGGAAGCTATCAGAATGAGTGCAAGAAGTGGAACAGCGTCATCACTTAAGGTCTCGTCCCTGCCACCTGACCCAATCTGCATGGGCGTCATCGCAGCTATAAAGGTAAGAATTATATCAAACTCATTTAAAAACTTTCTATATAAATTATCATTTAAAACAAATAGTATGTTTCTCTTTACTCTGATGTTACTGTTTTATTATAGGTGAAAAAAAAACTCTAACCCTATTTTTCCCTATAAAATCTCACGTTTCCTAACCACAAACTGACCTACCACAAGGGTTTTCAGGAACATAACCCTTGCAGTTAGGAAGGGATCAACGTACTCTTATTTAAAGATGCCTAGTCTGGCTCCAGAGAATAACATGCAACAAAAAAAAAGCCAGACTGAAAATCTGTCACCTACGATTACTAATCAGCATCCCGTGGTAGATTCTGAATACTGGACCACTATACATGAACATTTTTCTTTGTGAGAAAACGATCACAATGCTGCACTGGTTAAAACTGTTTGAAAAACAAAGGTTTTCATATGACGTACAGGTGTGACAAGCTACCTGGGCTTTTAAACCAGACCCCAGTGTCACTACACACGCACGCA